CAAGCTACGGGGTGTTTCAGTTACGAGCGACTAAAATATTTTTCTCAGTGCAATCTGTTTTGCAACAGTCACCTGTTAATCCGTTCGAATCCAAATATTTCAACAGCTGGGGTGTCTTCGACGTTAATAAGCTTAGGGTTGGGAGCTACTTCCTATGTGGAATCGGCAAACATATACGTCTCCTTGCAAATCATCGCCCCGTCCGGAAATTTGCATAAAATTTATCGATCTATTAACGTGGGGGATCCCCGCACTTCCTGGGAGAGCGGAACCGGTTTTATTACATCCTTAAAACCCGTTCCGCGTGATTAGTTTTCGAGAAATTACCTCAACATTAATCTACTCCGGTAAGTGTGGTACTCGTCGTTTCAGCTGGTTTTCCTGATCGGTTCTATTAGTGACAATTGAAGATCGCCGAATAGGGTGGTTTGACGGATCAAGTGGCCGTTCCCAAGTCATAAAAATCTTATTTTATGCGATCGGAGGAAAGAGATCTCACTCGAAGTCGTAAAGCTTTTAAAATGTAGCCAAAAACTATCACGGTAACTGTTAGTTCCACACCTCGATGTAAGTTAAGGAGGTATAAACTTACAATTAGTCATAATTATAAATGTTTAGCAGTTTTACGTGGTATACGTGGTATCTATAAAAATTTTTGAGTATGTTTCTTAAGGAGGTATATCGGGGTCCGAGGGAAGTGAGGAGCGCAGGGGGAGTCCTATGCTTTTCTTATGGGACTAAAGCCCGCTGCCAATTTGAAAAAAATAAATTCTTTTGAAATTATTTGCGATAAACATTATCTATATAGCAAATAAATCTACTTATATGCACATAGCATACATATTGACTAATTAACAACATAAAAATATCATATTTAAGTAGTTTTAAATTATATTTAATGAACGCATAAAGACTATGTAGATGTGGCAACAGCGCTAATAATTGACTAGCAGTTGTACACAGTGCGAACCCAAGAATTGTATATAAGAGGATAGCTTATTTTGCATGATTTGTTAGCCGGCGATCGCAAGCCGTGACGTCACCATCAGTACACTTTCAGATGCATCACATTTAAAATGTACGGTAATACATCGTCTTTTTTAAATTAAGCTGCTTTAGTGGTTTTTGTAGTAGCTAATCAAAAAGTATTTTTTATTTTTTAAGTGAGCATTTAACTAAGAATAATTAAATACGTATATGCAATAACAAAAGTACCCAATAAATCAATACAATTTTAATGTTTTTAATCTGTTTATTGAATGAATGCCTTCAATGAATATTTATTAAATGAAATTTATAAAAATTACTAAATATATATATTTTTATACAACTATGATGATTAATGTTAAGAAAATAGGAACTGGGTCTGTATGTGCAGGAGGAATAAATTGTTACAATTTTAAATAAATTTATTTTTTTCAACAACTAAAATAATAATATACAAGTACAACAAAAAAATTATAAAAGGAGTTAAATGTAGGTCGAGGAAGAGAGAAAGAAAATACATTACTAAAAAATCTTAATATACCAAAAGATATTAATTTTAATTATTTTTTTTAATTTGCGAATTTTGCTTCTGTGGACTTTGTCTGTTCGGCGCAATGGTAGTAATATAACATAACATATTAACAAAACATTTTTTCTATAGAACAATGTATACTTATTACCTAATTAAATTCATTTTGTAGATCTCTCATAATCGTTGGGAGTAAAATGTAGACAGCATATAGTAGAGGTATTTTCGTTGAATTTATCCGCTCTTTTACAACGATTTATCCATTCTTTTCTGATTGTGAATGAACATAGGTTATTTGCTCAATAAAGTTTAAAAATTCGTTTTTTCTCTGCTTATTAAGGAAATTTGCCAAACTGTTAAATACCTAGGTACGCCCGAAAAAAAAATATAAAGATACAAAAATGTCCAAACACAAATTGATCGTTTGAAGACCGAAAAAAAGAAATTAAAGTTTATGACACAAATCTTGAATGTATATAATGTTCTTAAAAGTCTATAATAATTGTACAACGTTAAAAAATAAGCAAATTGCCAGAAAACACTTACGAGAAAATAAAAAACCAAAACGTAAACACACAGACATTTGTGCGATGACAGCAATTCTGCACTGATGAATACGTCACAACCGTTCAGTATTCCGTCCGCAAATAGGCCCGATCGGCCAACGTTGTTCTTATGGCAATAAGCTATCCTCTTATATACGATTCTTGCTGCGAACCTACAGACCTCGGACATCGGAGATGTTGCTCGTCAATTTCGGGTAAAGATGCGTACGCGTTCAAAAATGTATTGTGTGTAAACTATGTCAATATAATTATTATATATAGCAAATATATCGTATTATCCTCGCGAAGATTTATATCTTTTATTTAAAATCCGTAAATCATGTGAACTGGTAAAACAACGAGAATTATGTTAATTTAGTTCTAAAGAAATGAAATGACACTCGCGCCCATCTCTCGTCCAAGTCAAAGAAAATGTTGGATGCAATTTTGAAGGTTCTGTGATAGAAATTACATTATTACTCACTGTTCGTGTTTTTAATCTCTATTTTAGTAATGTTACAAAAGTTTTGCAACTATAACTAATTTTCTAGATTAAAATTTGCTGAGAAATATGTATGTTCCTTTGTTATTCCGTACAAATGCTTTTATCTCAAGTATTACTAATTATATTGATCAAGTAAAGAAAACTTTATGTAACCCTAAACATTGCTGGTAATGGTTACGATGTTTTTATAAACCATTAAATATATTAAAAGGATTTATCAACTGTATTTTTTATTCCAATAAATATATCACAGCTTCCTAATATTTTTTAATTAATCTAGTTTTTTAAAAACATTACAAAAAATCATCTGTTGTGGATAATTTATTGTTGATAACAATGTACATGGGATTTAGGAAAAATGTATATGTTTGAAATCAATTTCGTTTTTATCAAGTCTTTCAAATATATTCCCTCCTTGCTGTCAGCTGATTGCGACGTTGCCACATTAATCCTCAAGTCGGACAGAAATGCAATTATTGGTTTCTGTTTCTAATTAATACAGCTGTACTATGTTCAAAACTTCCATTAGTTTTACATCAAAAATAAGATAACACTGTGTACTATCTATGGAAAAGTTTTGTTTCGCAATTTCTACATTTTTTTCTCAGTTATGGGCAAAAACACCGTCCATCTTCGCCATATAAACCTATGTTAAAATGAACAACTTTCAACAACAATATCTCAAAATCTAGAGTCAAAAAAAAAATCAAAAAAATTGGCGCACAGAGGGAGCGCTGGGTAACACGCTATATAAATTTTCAAGTACATCTGTGCATTTGAGTAAACCCGATATACCTCCTTAAATAACAAGTGATTTAAAAATGAAGTAAAACAAATAAATATTCTTCAAATCGACCACACCTTTGCCCTCGAAGATAAAGACGGGCTCATCCGTACGATTTTAAAGGAGCTCTTTTCCGCGTACCCATTAAGGTCGATGGAAACGAAAAAACCCCGCCATTAAGCCAGTGTTTGCCTGTCATCCCGTCGCATTTAATTTTATTTTCCCCGAAGGAACGTACGGTTATAATGAACGCCTCTTCCTCGACATCACCCGAAATTGAGAACTCGACGAAAAAAAGAAGCCCGGATTCCATTAACGGACATTACCTCTCCTATGGCAGTTCATTCCGTTGGATGTAGTCGAATCGTCGCGTTGCCTTCACGCCGCGATCGTGTGAAATCCTCGACGCGACTGATAATTGTAACAGCTCCTTCACGATCCTTAGAAGCCGCTGAAAACGTTATTTTGTTGTTCCGGAACTGCATTGACAAAATGTTGAGGACCGCTGACTATTATAAAACCTAGTGAAGCCAGCAGTCCCCAAACTTTTCAGCACTTTCTATAATTTCTGTTAAAAACGAGTTCTATTTTATTCAGAGCGATCTGATTTACACGCGGCGCGATAATCCTTAAGAAAACTCCCCCAATTCCTTGCAGGCCGTTATCGAGAAGGGCAGAACAAGATTGTTTTTGTAAGTTAAATGTATTGCTCGCCGCGTTTAACCCTTACGCCTTACATTAATTTGATTTAGAGGGCCGACCTGTCTGAGTCGTTATTAATGACTGCCTGTAAGCGTGGAGTGTGTAATTTTGTCGGTAAGGAAGGGAGCTGGTTCAGTCTGACGCGTCTTGGGGGAAGAATTTATGTGCTCTAAGTGTTCGCAAGCAAATATTTGTGAATGAGAATCTGTTATAAAAGAAGCTCAACCGGCAGTTTGCCTAACATTTCATAGATTTATCTTGCCATTCTCGGGAAATATTATCAAACTACTTGCGCTTCACAACGGTATTTTTAGGTTGCATGTTGGGATTATAATGTATTTTTGATTTAAATTCTATGGCAGAGTGTTGTTTATTTCCACACACGAGAACTGTATTTTATTATTCATTTCTATTGCACGACGCGACGGTCTGAAGTTTTGGGACTGCTGGCTAGATTGTGTAATATTCCAGCGACCTTCAAACTTTTCTCATTTTAAGCGACCACGTTCTTGAATTTATTAAATAACTCCTCGGGAGGGGTTCAATACTTTGGCCTTGGAAACTTTCAGGGATATCCGGGAGCAAATTGATATTAAGAAATATTTAAGTAATAGCTTTGGGAACCTCAGGTAGTCGGGAAGTTTTAAGTAACCCTAATTGTGGCTTTATTAAAAGAGGGATCTCTAAACGGACTTTCGGGCAGTGACGTTACCGCGAAGTTTTCTCATTCTTTCCAAGCTCTCGCGTTGCCCTACGCTGATAACTTTATTTTAAAACTTATGAAGGCGTCGATACGGGAATGAAAATGTTATTGGTTTGAGACTCTTGTAAGACACTGTACGGTGGAAAGAGTGGCGCATTAGTATTCTATAGCCAGCCTGCATTAAATTTACATTATCTGAGCTACAGAACTTGATTAAGGCATTTTAATGACAGTTTTGCTTCCAGGTGACTCTGTCGATATCAATTCTAATTAGCCTCCACGTTTTCTTCCTGTTGGTCGTCGAGATTATACCCCCCACCTCTTTGGTAGTTCCTCTGCTGGGAAAGTACCTTATATTCGCCATGATCTTGGTCTCGATAAGGTAAGTTCTTTTTATAAAATAATAATATTAGATTAAGCGTAAATGAATGCGTCTAGAAGAGGCACAGCAGTGTTGATATTCTAAAAAGATGTATCTGAAAGTAATTTCAATTGTACATCTGCTCTTTGTTGGCTTCAAGGTACAAACTTTACAAAAGAATTTTCCAATTACAAGAGTCCGGGCTCTGGGAAAATATGAAACGAGGGACCCGGCAGCGGGCACAGTCCCGAATGGAACCGTTGACCTGTTTTTTAATTCGTTTTAACCAAAATTAAAGGCTTTCTGGCCAAATACGAAAGCAACTTCGTTGTTTTAATCGAATTCCATACTAAAATATCTTCGTGAGATTAGTTTCTTTGAATTCGTAAGGGCGATTTTTTGCGTTGAGTTCGAGCTTGTCCCACCCTCGACATTTTTCACAGATACACCTAATTCGCCTAATGAGGCGTCGCGATAAAATATGACGGACGCGAGTAGGGTATAATTGCGGTCTCTCAGTCTCCCCCCTCCACTTTCTGGCTTGGGATGACCTTGAGGCCGAAGGCCGATGACGTT